CCATGTGAGGGATTGTCTTGTGACGCAGTTGAGTGCTTTCCTCAATGTGTGTCGTATCCACTTCCAGCGCTTCTTCCTGATTTCTTCCTCCACTGGGATCTGGTTTGTTTTCTCCCACAGTAGGTTGTTGCTGATAGTGTCCGGCCAACGGATCCGAAGTATTTTCTGTAGACAACTGTTAATAAACACTTGTATCTTCTGAATGATGGCTTTCGTAGTTCTCCAGGTTTCCGCCCCATACAGTAGGACTGTCTTGACATTTGTATTGAAATTTCTGACCTTGGTGTTGGTTGACAATGGCTTTGAGTTCCAGATGTTCTTCGACTGTAAATACGCTGCTCTTGCTTTGTCGATCCGCGTCTTCACATCTGCATCAGATCCACCGTGCTCATCAGTGATGCTGCCCAGATATGTAAAGGTTTTTACATCTTCCAAATCTTCTCCGTCAATTGTGATTGGATTGGTGCATGCTGTGTTGTATCGGGGAATCTTGCTTTTCCCTTTATGTACACTGAGACCTACTGCTACTACACTGGTCGTCTTCCCCTGCATTTGTTGTTACTTTTGCGATAGAAGGGCCAGATCATCTGCGAAGTCTAGATCGTCCAACTGCATTCTAGCTGTCCACTGTATCCCGTGCTTCCCCTCAGGTGTTGACGTCTTCATGATCCAGTCGATCACCAGGAGAAAGCGAAAGGATGAGAGTAAGCAACCTTGCCTGACACCGCTCTTTACTTTGAACGACTTTGTCAACTGTCCTCCATGCACGATTTCGCAGTTTAATGCATCATAGGAATTCTGTATGATATTGACGAATCTCCCATAGTTTTATCCTGTTCACTCTGTCAAATGCTTTCTCGTAGTCAATGAAGTTGATGCAGAGTGATGAAATCCTTTCAACTGATTGTTTCGCAATGATCCATAGTGTTGCGATTTGGTCTGTACACGATCGATCCTTACGGAATCCAGCCTGTTGGTCACAAAGTTGGGCGTCTACGCAGTCCTTCATTCTGTTTAACAATACCCTGTCGAAGACTTTTCCCGGTATTGAGAGAAAAGTGATGCCCCTGTAGTTATCACAGTTGCTGAGATCGCCTTTCTTCGGTATTTTGATCAGAAGTCCTTCTTACCAGTCTTTTGGTGCTTGTTCCTCATCCAAAATCTTGCTGAAGAGAATGAGGAGTATCCTTGCAGTTACCGGTACGTCTGCTTTCAGTGCCTCTGCTAGAATGTTGTCTGGTCCTGCTGCTTTGCCACTATTTATTTGTCTGATGGCCATGCTGATCTCTTCAATTGTTGGTGGGCCAACATTGATTGGGAGGTCCGTGGGTGCTGCTTCGATGTTGGTTGGGTTCAGTGGAGCTAGTCGATTCATGAGTTCTTTGAAGTGTTCTACCCACCTGTTTTGCTGCTCTTCAATTTTGGTGATTACCTTGCCTTCCTTGCTTTTCACTGGTCGTTCTGGTTTACGGTAATTTCCAGCAAGTTTCTTTGTCGTGTCATACAGTTGTCTCATGTTACCTTCTCTTGCAGCCTCTCCCGCCGTCATTGCTAAATCCTCCAAATATTTACGTTTGTCGGTTCTGATGCTCCTCTTAAATTGTTTGTTTACTTCTGTGTATTCGGCTTGTGCCTTGGCTTCTTCTGCTCTTGTTCGGCTGGTATTGATTGCTGCCTTCTTGTTCCTCCTTTCTTGAATCTTATCCAGTGTATCAACAGTGATCCATTCCTTGTAGTGGTGCTTATTGTGACCCAGAACCTCATGACATGTTGAAGTTGCTCTCCATAGTAGTTCCTTCTCCATTGAGTAGGTCATGAAAAATCTGGAATCTATTGCTGAGGACTATCTTAAATTTGTTGAGTTTGTCAGTATCCAGAATGGTCAGGTCCTTTGTTGGTCACTTCTCGATGATTGACTGCAGCCTATTGTAGAATTGATCTTTAGCGTCTTAATTGTGGTCGTTGGTGGGCGCATAGCATTGGATAACTTCCTTTGAAATGCCCTCTTTCTTTGCTTTGAAGGAGGCTTTGATGATCCTTGGTCCATGAGATTCCCATCCTATAAGTGCATTTTGTGCTTGTTTGGACAGCATCAATGCAACTCCTTGTGTATGTGGGACATTTTCTTCTTCATGGCCGGAGTATAACAGGAGCTCCCCTGAAGCTATTCGTTGTTGTCCAACTTGCGTCCAATGTGTTTCACTGATCCCAAGCACCTCTAGGTTGTATCTCCTCATTTCTGCAGCAATTTGGAAGGCTCTCCCGGTGTCCCACATTGTATGAACATTCCATGTACCTAAATAAATGGTCGCTCTGGTTGTCAGAAGGGGCATCGGCCTCGTAACTTCCGAAGGAATTTGGCTTTCATCATGAGACGTCATAATTCTTCTAAATGAAGAGCTTCTGACTCCCGGGGCAGAGTTTAAAAGGTTTGAATAATTTTTCTGGTTAGCGTTTTTTTAGCGAGTTAGTTTTCCACGGGATGGGACGCCAGCCCCATGCCCAACCCTCTTCTTTTATCCGGGCTTGGGACCTGCAGTAGCCCCCGGAGGGACTTTAGGCGGATTTGTTGATAATTGTAGCGGAGAGTTAATCAATTCTAACAGGAATTTATTGTTTTTTAATAATTTAAAACCTTTAAGTAGTGCAATTAATGACATCGCTGGCCATCAGTTACTCATCTTGGATACAGTTAATGCCGCACCGATTAAAAATGGGGTAGTTGTGTCAATATTCCTTCGGTAGTCACTGAGTATGGTCCGTCTGTGCCTGGGCTAACAGGCCCAAGATTGTTGGATATATACACTTGTTTCTGTACAGATACCGACAGCAACTTTAATAAAGATCTGCTGTAACAATGTTAGAAGGCTGTAAGAGACATGAATATTCACCCAGTGCACTAAGAATTAGGTAAAGCTCATCCTCTTGAGGCTTAGATTAAGTCCATATGGTTTAAGTGAGGCTGTTAAAAATGAACTGGATAAAGTGGTTGCGAAACGGAAATATTGATAGCTGAGTCGTCCAATTGAGCTACTTGCATTGTAACTCCATTAAGGACTGATGGAAATACACATAAATTTTTGGTAATTACCGCCTGAGTGAAAAATCTGACTAAAAACTTAAATCGGTTTCCTAAACTCTTCTAATAAAGCCAGATCAAATCTATACAAGAGTCTGAACAGAAGAGAAAAGGAGCATAGTGTGGAAAGAACACTTTCATCCAAGGTTAGTTATGTACAGAAAATGACGGTATCATAACATTTCAGATGGCCTTGAGACTCTAGAAAGTTTTGGAACCCAACTAAACATAGTAGCAGGGTATACAATCATCTGATCAGAAATGCAGGACATGACACTTCACTTTCTACCGGTTTCTGAGAAGCTCTATTCAGTGCAACTCCGTCTGGAGTCCCTCCGGGGGCTACTGCAGGTCCCAAGCCCGGATAAAGGAGTAGGGTTGGGCATGGGGTTAGCGTCCCCACCCCGTAGAAAACTAACTCGCTAAAAAAACGTTAACCAGAAAAAATTATTCAAATCTTTTAAACTCAGGAGAAGACGAACAGTGTAGCAGCAGCCTCAGCAGCAATAGGTCTCAATATACACAAAGGGAAAAGCAGGATTCTCCGATACAACACAGAATGCACCAATCCAATCACAATCGACGGAGAAGATTTGGAAGATGTAAAAACCTTTACATATCTGGGCAGCATCACTGATGAGCACGGTGGATCTGATGCAGATGTGAAGACGCGGATCGACAAAGCAAGAGCAGCGTATTTACAGTCGAAGAACATCTGGAACTCAAAGCCATTGTCAACCAATACCAAGGTCAGAAATTTCAATACACATGTCAAGACAGTCCTACTGTATGGGGCGGAAACCTGGAGAACTACGAAAGCCATCATTCAGAAGATACAAGTGTTTATTAACAGTTGTCTACAGAAAATACTTCGGATCCGTGGCCGGACACCATCAGCAACAACCTACTGTGGGAGAAAACAAACCAGATCCCAGTGGAGGAAGAAATCAGGAAGAAGCGCTGGAAGTGGATACGACACACATTGAGGAAAGCACTCAACTGCGTCACAAGACAATCCCTCACATGGAATCCTCAAGGCCAAAGGAAAAGAGGAAGACCAAAGAACACATTACGGCGAGAAATGGAGATGGACATGAGAAAAGTGAACAAGAATTGGATAGAACTAGAAAAGAAGGCCCAGGACAAAGTGGGTTGGAGAATGCTGGTCGGCGTACTATGCTCCATTGGGAGTAACAGGCGTAAGTAAGTACAATTATCAACAATAAGTGAGTGGGATTAGCCTGTTTTGGAAATTAATTTTTGCATCGAATGTGTGTCACTGCTTCAAGTGGCAATGAATGATAGCGAATCCTACCTTTTGTCCAAATCAACTGGTTTTGACCCACTATCATCCAGTGTTTTAGTGGTAAACGACTTGGAACTTTGAAAAAAGTTTTGTCTATCTCCAACTTTTCCTTACTTACACCTGTTACTTCTCATGGAGGAGCATAGACCACCCACCAGCACTCTCCATCCACTCCTGTACTGGGCAATCCGTTCAGCTCTTTCCAGTTATTATTCATCCTCTTCATATCTGCTTCTATTTCCCGACGTAATGTGTACTTTGGCCTTCCTCTTTTGCGCTTCCCTTCAGGATTCTAAGTTAGGGCTTGCTTCTTGATGAAGTTGGGTGATTTCCGTAGTGTGTGTCCAATCCACTATCATTGTCTATTCAAATCTTCTCTTCAGCTGGAAGCTGGTTTGTTCTCTCCCACTGTTACTGATGGTATCCGGCCAATGGATGTTGAGTATTTCGAAGTTGAGCGCTCACAGTGTCTTTCATCCGGCACCTTACCGAAAAAAACAAGGAGAGAGAGAGAGCAAAGAAATCAATCGTTTTATACAAAACCATGACAAAGCTATTGGGTATTGGACTGAAGAGTCAGTATCCGCGTAATTTCAGAAACGCGTTGCGTTGGCGATGACAAGGTATGTTGGTTGGTGGTTATCTATTACTGATTACGAATTAGTTATTACAACCCCAGCTGCGAGCGGTATATTCAAAGGACCAATGATTCAACGTCACACAGACTTAAAAATGCTTACTGGACTACCAAACAAGCAGTTATTAAGAAACTGCGTCGAAAGCAAGACGAAAATATTGTAGCTTCCGACTCCGATCTTGACGCAAAGTTGGAGGTAAAAAACACCCTATTTATCACTCCTTTAGCTGTTAAAATCTGTTCAGTTGACATGTCGAGATCTTGACAATGTATTGGCACGTTATCAGAGAACGTTGTGCTGTAAGTTTTGATTATTACCCTGCTGACTGTTCAGATCTCTCTCAGGCTGAAATGAAATGGGACGATTTCTAAAACAATATAGTTTAGAAGATAAAACACAAGCTGGGAAGATTATGTCTGCTGTCGGAAAAGCGTTAAGTAGCTCAGCCCAACAAAGGTAAAACTGCATTTTTTCTGTTATGCTCTTTTGGACTCACTATGGCTTCATTAATCATTACATCTAACCAACCAACTTACGATTGCCTGAGTACACAACATTATGCTTGACGTACTGTTATTGTTTAGCACCCTTGTTACATAACCACGAGCATCAGGGCAACCCTGAGACAATGTAATGAAAAAGGGCTGTGATCCGTTACTTCTAGCAAAATAATGTGCTGTGAAGAACCACATATGTGGTTGTCTGTACGTCCATTTAGATGTACAGTGAAGCAAATCGAGTATCTGTTTCCATATAAACGTGTACACCACATTGGAGTCGTGATTATTGTTTTTGTCAATCTGTATCGTTTTCTGAATTTTTGCTTTAAATAGACTTACTTTACTCAGTCCACTTGATCGTGTTCATCAAGAAGTCAAAACATTCAGACAACAGGCAATCAGTGACACAACAAATACAGTTAAAATTATGGAACAAGGTCGCACAGAATATCGAGGTGCTTTGTTATGGATGAAAAACGTAAGCGAAGAGTTGGACCCAGATACATACAAACAGCTGGAGAAGTTTCGGTGCGTTCAAGCACAGGTAATTCATATATGGATATTCTAAGTAATTCGATATGCACCATTTAAATGTTGGCTTGATTTAGTCAGATTTTATCAAATAATTGGGCAATAATAATACCGGTTAATAAAACAGTCGTTGAATTGTTTAATATGGACGTTTTTATTTATTTATTTATTTAAACACAAACATTGGTACAAGGAGGCACCAAATAGATATGCACCACGTAAATCATTAGATTTATGTGAGGGCTGGGATACTGTTCGTGTGCCCAAACTGAAACAGGTGGCTTTCTTAGGGAGCCGCAACCGGAGCATTCGGCCTAAAGGTCTGATCCACAAGGTAGTGGAGCAACGTAGGAAGATGCAGTCCCATGGTAGCCAGTGACCAACAATTGGTTCATACGCCATCTGTTCCCTCAGGATACTGGGGCTCATGTGCACCATTGGTTTGAAATCAGGGTTTTCCAACTCCCTTAGGAGGACTCTCCATGTCCATCAACTCGGTTAAAGCTCTGAATATTCGCTTTTCGTCCTCTCAATTCCGTGAACAACACTCCTCGCCGCAATAAGGCAGTGAGTAGGACTTCCCAGGGAGTGGTTCTATACGCGTGGTCATGTGAGAGCATTTCGAGTGGGAGTGCGGATTCTCCTCACCCTCGGCTGCACTAGGGGATTGGGGGGGGCAGGGAGAGGTACTCCGTTTTTCCATCGATTTCTCACTCCAATGCAGCCTTCTGACCTAACGGTACATAAACGATTGTTATCAGGGTTTCAGTCGACTAGCGCTGCCTCTTCTCTGGCATTCAGTGCGACACTGGACGGTAGTGCTACAAGGTCTCCCGGTTAGAGGGATATGGCACAAACATTTCAAATTCATTTACAGGAGAGGAGTTTCTGGCATCACCGGTCTTGAATGTGAGCCTCAGACTCATAGTATACGTCAATAGTAAGCTTTTCCAATGATGGATCAATCTGTCTGTTGTCCGACTTGCATCCAAGCACGAAAGTTGGCGATAGTTCTGATTTAGGCTCGTAGCTTCAGAAAGCTGTGTCAGAGTCTACTTCCGATTGCGTCCAAGCTATTGGCTTCCGTCATACTTCGTAGGTTGTTCGAAACTCGAGAAAGATTGACTTGCGCGGAGAAGGCTGGGTTTCGTTCCGGTCGAGGATGTATTGATCATATATTCACCCTCCGCCAAATATTAGAACACCGCCATATTTATCAAAGGCCAACAATCGTAGTGTTTCTTGACATCAGGGCTGCCTTCGATTCGTTGGATAGGACTGTTCTCTGGAATTGTCTATTGAAGAAGGGTGTGCCTGAGAAGTTTATTAACATCCTAAAAGCCCTATATACAAACACCTCAGGCAGAGTGAGGGCATACAACCACCTCTCTCCATTGTTCCATTCAAGTAGTGGGGTTAGGCAGGGTTGCCCAATCTCACCATTCCTCTTCAACTTTGCCATCGATGACATTCTGGAGACAGCTCTGATGGATGTAAGTAATGGTGGTGTGGATCTGTTGCCTGGAGAAAGACTTCTCGACCTTGAGTATGCGGACGATATTGTCTTACTGTGCGATAATGCCCGAGGCATGCAATCCGCACTTAATCAGTTGACAATCAGTGTCCGTAGGTATGGTATGTGCTTTGCACCTTCGAAGTGCAAAGTACTTCTACAAGACTGGCAGGATTCCAATCCTGTACTCACTCTGGATGGAAAGCAGATAGAAGTGGTCGAGTTCGTGTATCTAGGTAGCTGCATAAGTGCTGGTGGGAGTGTGAGTGATGAGATCAATGCACGTATACTGAAAGCCAGAGCGGCTTATGCCAATATGGGTCATCTTTGGCACCTTCGTGATGTCAGCCTGGCTGTAAAGGGTCAGATCTACAACACGTCGGTGAGAGCAGTTTTGTTCTATATTTATGAGGATGTCAGACGAATCTCTGTGTTCGATCATCGCTGTCTCCGAAGGATTGCTGACATCCAGTGGCAACACCATGTTAGTAATTCAGAGGTTCGGCATCGTGTGTTCGGGCACAGAGATGATAATTCAATTGGTGTCACCATCTTGAAACACCGACTTCGGTGGCTTGGATATGTTCTACGAATGTCGTCCCAGAGAATTCCACGTCGTGCACTATTTGCCGACTCTGGGACGGGTTGGAAACAGAGGAGAGGTGGTCAGTGCGTGACATGGTATCGTGGTATGAAAGAAAGCTGCAAAGGACGACTCCCTGGTTGGGGTCTGAGAGATGGTGCAACACAGTGGCTAGAGACGTTATCAGATATGGCTCAGAATAGAAGCCAGTGGCGATCCTGCTGTAACCTTCTTTTACTTTCTTCATAAAAATAGGGTTGTATCTTCCTTAACTGAAAGATTTCTTCTGATTGTACTTTTCCGTTCCCCCATTATCATTATTATTATTACACTACCTTACACCAATCTCTTCGTTACTGTTCGTTATTGTTCTCTTTTTTACGCTCCTTACGTTTATTCTTTCTTCTCTTTAAATTCTCATTGTTTTGTGTGGCGCATATATATTGGCGCTCTCTTGTACCAATATTTATGTGTTCAAATAAATAAATAAATTCTATATCCTGATAGAATCCATAAGATCGACTGTTCATCAGTTTGTGATAGTTTAGATAAGACAGGACTTTCAACAAAGATGAACTACTAATTGAGTCGAAGCATAGTAGACAGAATAGAAATATGGGGAGACAGGAAGTTGAAACAATGTGAAATAAATTCATTTCTAATAAACTGCATATTACATGATTAGACAAATAGGCATAACGAACAGAACATTTCCATAACTGTCCATTATCATATTTTTGTATGTGGTAGGACACTGCCCGGACCCCTACTCCGAAACAGGTCCCTAGTTCCTCAAACTTCAGGGATGGTTCATATTGAGTTTCGGAATGATTTCCTGTTGTGTCTTCATCCAACTCTTCGAAGGATTTTCCCCATACATTCCCTTTTTTATTGTTCTAATACTTATTCGTATTACTATTTCGTCTCACGGATAAAGTCATTGATACCTTCCCTAGCCTATTCCCAGTCGTTCAAAATTTTCGATTATCACAGCAGTTATGAATACTATATAATTAATCAAATTTCCTTGTCATTAGGATTTGTTATTACATTAGTTGTTGGATAAATAGCAAAAGCTCCATCATCAGTCTTACTCACCAGTGTAATTATCAGAATATTAGATTTAATACAATTTAGCTTTTTGTCTCGCCATATGGTCGTTGTTTCTGCTCAGTAATTAAAGATGATCATTACCATTATCTACTCTGAACCAGAAATTGTGATATATATCTTCCTTATATCTGTCACTTTATTTTTATGTTTAGCACGTTGTACAATATGTCAGTGATGTATACGAAAAAAAATATTTCTGAAATTCATCAGCCTACCACTTTGTCCAGTTTAGTGTTTTTCATAGTTGCAACAGTTTAGATGGTAGATGATTTTCGGCTTTTATTCTTTATTCAAACAAACGACGAAATGACAATAGAACACAAACCGGATATCATCTACAAAATAAATTGTTCTAACTGCAAAAAACACTACATCGGACAAAGTGGGCGTCCTCTTCATCTTCGTCTACACGGATATCATTTAGTGGTCAACTCGCTTATATCAATTCATGTGGACAAACGTGAATATAATCGACTGGGAAAATGTTGAGATCTTGGATAGAGAATACTAAAAGCACCGGAGAATTTTTAGAAGCTAGTCACTCAGGTCAATCAGTAGTCAACAAACACATTGAAATCGATCCAATTTATCAACCATCAGAAAAATCATGAACAGATATGGGACCGAGAATCAAATCAATGGGGGTCACAATCAAAATAAAGAAGACAATGACAGGTTAAAGGTCAACAGTAACCAATCAACATCGAGGTCGACAGGACAAGCTGTGAGTCATATGTGGAAAAGTTTGAACACCACTTCTATCCGAAGTTTGTGCTGATGATGTCGTTCAGAGTAACGATGAAAGCTCCACGACCAAACCATCCAGCTCAGAGAACAAAAATCCACATAAATCATCTACATGAGTCACAAATCTACTCCACCATTACAAAACAACTTATTAGAAACTCCAAAAGATTTAATACCACTCAAAAGGTTCATCAAGTTGTAAACAAATTCACACTTATATCGCGTTGTAGTGGTCAGTTAAAAAATGTGATATAGCCAGTAACCCAAGTAACTCGATATCATTGTGTACCATGTTGAAGGTAGTCGTGAGTCAATATTTCTTACTTACCAGCACTAACCGATAAAACCTAACCCGTAACATAAAAAGAAGTCACGTTTCCTATGAGCCAATATCCTTTTATGTTAGACTTAGTGATCGAAAATTCAGGTAAATCAGTCCCTATTTAACATAAACCAACGATGTTCTTATTGATTTTATTCTCCTTTAAGTTGTTTACTTTTAAGCTTATCGATAATAAGCCCATTGTTCATCATTTTTATCATTTAGGTTCGTAAAGCAAAAGCATCATTCGATCGCCTAAAAGTGGACAGTATGCAAAAAGTAGATCTGTTAGCAGCCAGTCGATGTAATATGCTGAGTCATGTACTTGTCGGCTATCAGAATACTTTGTTGACTTTTCTTGAAAAAACGTCTCAGTAAGTTTTAGTTTTTCTTAATAAGTGGATGTGAAGCTTTTTCTGAGTTCAGAATTCTTGGTTAAATGGAATTTACACAAAATTTGAGAATACTACGTGGCATATCTTTTATCTTGAAAGTAATTCCAGAAAAATACCTAATTGCGTTACCTTAAACTTCATTATGTGCGTATGTTGTTCCATGCTATTCAAGAAAATTTCTGTTCTAGATGATCTTTCAACTAGCTAGTTCTACTCCTGACACATATATGATTTTCTAGTACCTGGATGGGTTTTATGTCCTTATACCCTCAAAAATTCTTTGCAATTGGATACTTTTGAGTTCCCATTAATTTTGTTTATGTAGTTTTAAGAATAAATGACCATATTCAGAAGGCTGTAACTCCATTAGATACATTAAGTTCAGTTCAGCGGTTTAACCCAAGATCTTTTATTTACTACAGTAATGTTCTCGAAAGAGATACTAGAATATGTGAAATATAACTCTTATCAACAATTAACGATTTCATGCCATTTCAGCTCCCTTCGTCTCACTTTGAAAATGAATGTCGTTAACTGTACATAATAGTTGCTTTAAACATATTTTACAACTCGGCTGTAACCTCACCACCATAAGCACATAGTCTTTACGTTATCAACATCGCCCATCTGTACCTGTTGCCTTCACGTGGTTGCCAGACTCAGCTGTCGTAATAATCCAATCGATCTATATTAGCTAGAACACTTTCTTTTAGGTCCTACCGTGGTGGGCAGATCAGTTGGAGAACAATGAAGTTAAAAGCACAAACTTAAGATCTGAGGGTGGGGTCACACTACTGACTGTACAGGGCTGTGACGGCAGTATGCTGTTTCCCTCAAAGAACCAACACCTACAGCAATAATATCTTCCTACAACTGAAAGAGACGTTAGACGAGACTAGTCCTAAAAACAGGACACCTACAGATTTTTGTCACCAGTGGTAAGGCCTTTAGAGTACGGAGATAATACATCAAGAACTTCCCACAAAAGGAACGTGTGATTGGTGTCAAGTGGTTGTTTTCTAGGCTCTGTGTCCACTTCCCGATTCGCCAAGACTTCTACTGATTCACTTCCATTTTCAGTTACTTCATAAAGTATCCTTCCAAGGTGTAGGTGACTGGCAAATGAATTATTTATTTACTTATTTGAACACAAATATTGGTACAAGAGGGCACAAAATATTTATGCGTCACACAAAACAATGAGAATGGGAAGAGAAAAAAAAGAAGAACATTAACGACCAGATTAGTGTAAGGTAGTGTAATAATAATAATTACAATAATAATGGAGAAATGGGAAGGTTCAACCAGAAGAAATCTTTCAGTTAAGGAAGAAACAACCCTATTTTTATGAAGAAAGTAAAAGAAGGTTACAGCAGGATCGCCACTGGCTTCTATTCTGAGCCATATCTGATAACGTCTCTAGCCACTGTGTAGCACCATCTCTCAGACCCCAACCAGGGAGTCGTCCTTTGCAGCTTTCTTTCATACCACGACACCATGTCATGCACTGACCACCTCTCCTCTGTTTCCAACCCGTCCCAGAGTCGGCAAATAATGCACGACGTGGAATTCTCTGGGACGACATTCGTAGAACATGTCCAAGCCACCGAAGTCGGTGTTTCAAGATGGTGACACCAATTGAATTATCATCTCTGTGCCCGAACACACGATGCCGAACCTCTGCATTACTGACATGGTGTTGCCACTGGATGTCAGCAATCCTTCGGAGACAGCGATGATCGAACACAGAGAGTCGTCTAACATCCTCATAAATATAGAGCAAAACTGCTCTCACCGACGCGTTGTAGATCCGACCTTTTACAGCCAGACTAACATCACGAAGGCGCCAAAGGTGGCCCAGATTGGCATAAGCCGCTCTGGCTTTCACTATTCGTGCATTGATCTCATCACTCACACCCCCACCAGCACTTATGCAGCTACCCAGATACACGAACTCGACTACTTCTATCTGCTCACCATCCAGGGTGAGTACAGGATTAGAATCCTGCCAGTCTTGTAGAAGTACTTTGCACTTCGAAGGTGCAAAGCACATACCATACCTACGGACACTGATTGCCAACTGATTAAGTGCGGATTGCATGCCTTGGGCATTATCGCACAGTAAGACAATATCGTCCGCATACTCAAGGTCGAGAAGTCTTTCTCCAGGCAACAGATCCACACCACCATTACTTACATTCATCAGAGCTGTTTCCAGAATGTCATCGATGGCAAAGTTGAAGAGGAATGGTGAGATTGGGCAACCCTGCCTAACCCCACTGCTCGAATGGAACAATGGAGAGAGGTGGTTGTATGCCCTCACTCTGCCTGAGGTGTTTGTATATAGGGCTTTTAGGATGTTAATAAACTTCTCAGGCACACCCTTCTTCAATAGACAATCCCAGAGAACAGTCCTATCCAACGAATCGAAGGCAGCCCTGATGTCAAGAAACACTACGATTGTTGGCCTTTGATAAGTATGGCGGTGTTCTAACATTTGGCGGAGGGTGAAGATATGATCAATACATCCTCGACCAGAACGAAACCCAGCCTGCTCCTCGCGAGTCAATCTTTCTCGGGTTTTGAACAACCTACGAAGTATGACGGAAGCCAATAGCTTGGACGCAATCGGAAGTAGACTTATCCCCCGATAGTTGTTACAGGAACGACGTGAACCCTTTTTAAAGATAGGGACAACTATCGACTCATTCCATGACGTTGGTACACTCTCTAGTTCCCAAACCTTTGTAAACAACGTCGTCAATTCCTTAGTCAAAAAGTCACCACCATCTTTAAAAAGAGCCGGAGGTAAGTCATCTGGGCCAGGTGATTTGTAACGCTTCAAGAGTTGGAGTTCCTTGCGGACTTCCTCCTCATTTGGTGGATCAGTCGTCACCGGCCATGGAGGGCAGGACAGTCTGACCGATGTTGCCGGAGCAGCAGGCCAGTTGAACTGCCCTTCGAAAAATTCTGCCCATCGTCCAAGACGTCGATGGATGTTAGTGATTGGCATCCCATCATCCTCGCAGATTGTTTCACTCACACCAGACTTCTTGCTGCCAGTGGCTCGGATGAGTTGGAAGAGCTTCCGGTAGTTACCAGATGCAGCTGCTGCTTCCAGCTCATTAGCACGCTTCGACCACCAGGCTTCTCGGTCCTTACGCAAGCTTTGCCCAATTTCCTTACGTAACATCCTTCGTTTATGGTCAAACTCACGGTCACCCGGAGTAGACCGACGGGCTTCAATGAGTTGTAAGGAACCAGAAGAAACCCAGTGCTTAAAAGCGGGACGTTTCGCAAACCCACAACTGACTGTTCCCGCCATTTTCATGGCGTCATGCAATTGCAACCAATGCTCATCTATACTTTTCGGTGGAGTGGTAGCTAGCCTAGAGGCTAGCTCGGTTCGATACTTGCAACAGAAGTTGCAACCAGCTTGCTAACATCAATCCGTTGATGGCGGTCACTTCGTTGTCCACTGAAAAGTAAGGCAAGATTGGCGCAGACCAAGGCATGGTCAGAGTCCAGATAGGTACTCCAAAAGGAGCGGCAGTCTTTACACAACCACGCCAGCGGTAGCTGATCGCGATGTGATCAATCTGAGTCCAGGCTTGAGATGCAGAGGGAGGACGCCAGGTGGCACATCGGCGATGACTGTGCCGAAAGTTAGTGCTAGCCAGAAACAGGTTGTGGTCTGTGCAAAGTTGCAGTAGACGGTCCCCGTTATCTGACCTGCGACCAACGAGTCCCCATCGGCCACCTAAACGACTCTCTTCTGTGCCTAGACGCCCGACCTGAGCATTCAAGTCTCCGGCTAGTACTACAATATCTGTCGAACGCACTTTCTGGAGAAGAACAGATAACTGGTGGTAAAACTCATCCTTGATTGCATCCGGGCTGCAATCTGTCGGGGCATAGGCGGAGATGACGAAAAGACATCGTTTCTCACGCCGATTTCTTCTCACTTTGATGGAACTTTCTAATCTAACAGCACATAACCGACTGTTAATGGGGATCCAATCGACTAGTGCTGCCTCAGCTCTAGCGCTTAGTGCGACACCAACGCCAGCAAGACCAGACGAAGATGCCACAGGGTCCCCGGATAAGCGCACGTAAAACAAGCTTTTCGAAGCGACAGATGGAGATCGAATTTGTAGTACTTCGCCAGAGTCTTGAATACGGGTCTCGGATAGACATCAAACGTCGATATTAAGACTTTCCAAAGACATAGCCAGCCCTATCTGTTGTCCAACCTGCATAAGTGTGCGAACGTTGAAAGCAGCCAGTTTGAATGATGCACGTGGTTTCAGAAAAGCTGTTTCAGTATTCTTATTCGGTGTAAGCATTCAACTTTCGGCCAGGCAGTGACTCGAGATCGTTTAGATAGAACAGAGTTTCCACCATAGGCGAGCTGCTGTATAAGTCGAAAAATGAGGATACATAAAGTGGGAATAAACGAGAGTGAATAAATGACGTAGTAAATAATAATGTGAGTTGTTTGACTGTAAGTCGAAGCGAGAATAGAATTTCAGTAAATATCATCATTTTCATTGTAATTGTGTGTGGGCTGTGATACTGCCCGGGTTCCTAGACCGAAAGAGGTGGTTTTCATAAGGGGCCACACCCCGAGCCTTTGACCTAAAGGTTTAATCCACAAGGCAGTGGAGCAACGTGAGAAGATGCAGTCCCATGGTAGCCGGTGCCCAACAATTGGTTCATACACCATTTGTTCCCTTAGTATCCTGGAGCCCATGTGCACCATCGGTTTGGAATCAGAGTTTCCCAACTCTCCGTGTCTACCTACCCGGCTAAAGCTCCGAATATTCGCTTTTCGCCCTCCCAACACTTCCTGCCTCGATAAAGCAGTGAGTAGGACTTCCCTGGGAGTGGTTGTATACGCGTGGTCGTTTGAGAGCATTTCGAGAGGGTGGGCGGGCCCATCCACTCTCGGCTGTAGCAGGGCATTTGGGGCTAGGACGGTGGCTAGCAGTGGAATCCAGAACTCACGTTTCGTCCTACTTGGGTCCCGTCATTTGGATGTTCCTACATCCCAGAGTTGATGTCCACTCCGGGACTCGAACTCAGTATCGTTCGCTTCAAACGCCATCGCGGTATCCACTTAGATACTGAGTCCTAGGCAAATGAAATCTACCCACACATTCTTAACAACGTTTGAGGCAACCTGGTTCACGACTGAACCATCTCGTGTATCATAGCGTAGCGATAATAAACTATACGTACTATTACTTTTATAAACAGGGTTACTTTTTCATCCCAGGTTCACAGGTGAGTAAAATTCACTTTTATGTGTATGCCGACAGCCAAGTTGAAAATAGTTTCTATACAAATACTATTTCTAATTTTACATTTAAATACTATTTTCAAACCAAAGCAACTACCTTTTCCAAAATGTTCTTATCACTAGTATGATGGTAGCAGTAGCAGAAAGTTTCAGAGGTTACCAATACTATGAATTTTCAATTCTTCGGCATTTGAGACCAGAAAGTCGTAAATTGGCTGGATATAAGAGCGATGATGAGAAAGACAGCGATAGGTAATTTTTCGTTGTTTTAATTTATAGGTAATAAAACATTTATATATCTGATGCAGTTATTCATAACTTATGTATGACTGCCAAATAAGTGGTCTAAGTGGTACATTTCTTACACGAAATATATATATATATATATAGCGAGCTGGGAAGTGTGTAGCTCATAACTTGAAAATTTTAGCCACTATAAGGGAATGACGACAAACACATATGTGCGAACAACTTTGGAGCATAATCATGGTGATACGAACTAGTAATTGTATTTCGACACAACAGATCAAACCTAATGTGTTCACCATGAGATCTCATTATTCTGATGTATCATCCATCTAATAGTTCCCTACATAGACAGGTTCTGTTGGTCTGAAAGAGATTTGACTATTTTGATCAACCCTCGAATTTTGCGGTGAATACGTTAGTTAACCGTGACCTAATGTGTCGAGGCACTGGTTCATGTCATTGTGATTGTACTCTAAAGTTGTTTGCATATGGGTTTACTGTCATTCATTTATAATACCTAAAATATTCAAATTATAAGCTACAGACCTTTCGTCTCAATATTAACAGTTGCGTTCAATTTCACAAGCGCTCTAAAGGTTCCAAACTATGGTTAAACAATTATTTAGATCTCTCTGGGTTTTCTTGCTCTTTCACTAAATATCATTAAGTAATAATAACTGTCTATAAGTAAATAGAAATTTCTCACGAATCACGAACTTAAATATTATGAACTGCACTATGAATCGCTTCAGTTATTTATCTAAACTAGGCGCTAGATAGGGTTATCCACGAATAAGATTTTTTTTCTATCAGTTTTACTTCTTGCCCCAGTTATTATCAACTGGAGACCAAAGCAAAATGAACACAAGTAATTTTTAGCTGTTTCTGACGATTTTTGTCAGTATTACATCTCAGTTGTCACTAGAGGATGGAACCAAATACCGCAAACTTTAATTCCTCTAATTATAAATACATTTTGTAGCATTTGTTTATACCCCTAACGCTCAGAGTATCTTGGATAGAAGCACTTTTAGTTTTAATATTAATTTTTTGTAATTTTCTTTGTTTTCGTTACAAACCAGCGAAAATGGTAATGTGAAAGCAAAGAAAAAGGGAGGTGATAATGAGGAAAGTGAATGTAGTTCTTCTTCATCTAGTGATGTGGGATATACTCATAATCAATCTTTGAGAAACTGCAAAACTTCGTGTATCTTATCTTCAATTCATTCATGCATCCCTAGTGGATATGAAGCTTTAAAAATTGATGATTCCACAGAGAGACAAAAAACCGTGACTTGGTAAATGTGTGTGCGTGTGTCTCTGTTTGGCTTTGAGTTTGCCTATTGACATGATGATCCTGAAAAATTTCCTTTAACTTTCCAGGTTTCAGATACCTGCAATTTATTTGGTGAAAGAATTTTTGTATTTATTCAAGGTTTTTGTTTGAGTTGAAGAGTTTTGCTCTCAGTTGTCACATTTTTCCTCATTCTGATGTTCAATTCAGACAAAACGTCATATTGCACTTACGGGTTTATCATCGGTGCTTTTTATTTATAATGACATGGCTGTAATCTTTCACTTTGTTTTCAGAAGAATTATTCTGATTCTATTCAAAACTGATTTTTATCCACAATCAACTTAACCTCAAATATTCCATATACTGGGGTAGTCTGATTCTGTCTGGTTTCTAATGCAAACGTTAAATTCGTGTTGTCGATAGGATATTCATTTTATGATTGATATCCAGTCATTCAGTACATCATTAATTTTCTTTCAGTACGAAGTATGTGGAAATAGTTTGGTATAATTAGGTATTTATTAGTAAGTTTCCCATATTGAGCAGCAGACAGATGATTCGGTGATTAAGACGTTTGAATTTCAAGCACAAAGTTACAGGTTCGAACCCCTACCCACCTGGTTTGGTTTGGGCAACTGGGTGATATCACTAACCCCTGCACTTAGAGTGTGACCAAATACATGAATCTGTACATGGTAAATGAGTTTAAGAATGCTGTGTATCTGTCGTATATTAATGAACTAATGTATGGTTTCAATAGTTGAGATCATGAGTCAATTGAAGCTAGACCACCATGGAAAACCTGGAAGCACTAGACGGCCGTTTCGTCCTATTGTGGGACTCCTCAGCAGCGCGCATCCACGATCCCGCTTCGCGAGATTCAAACCCAGCAGCTATCAGTCTCATGATTGGAATCATTATCTCAACTATTCAAATTACTATAATATTCACAAAAATCCCTTCTAGTATATAATTATTGATGAAAGTACGAAGTAGGTAAACTAATTCAGCTAAATAGTCATGTAACATACAAGCATCATGATTTTTTCGTATATATTTTATCCCTTACTATGGATTCACGTTTTACAATGTAGAGGAGAAAAAATTCATTTATTCCTTAACTTTTTAAGTATGCGAAAAATATGTTATTGGCCAAAATGATGAACTTATGCAAATCAGTAGCGGCTTAGTGTGTTCACACAACACAGCTTCAACTAATTGGTTGTACACTTCATCTTTTTAACCTAAGTAGCCGAGTATCATCCGCACACCTCACAAATATTGTGGCTCAAATGCACATAAATGAGGTCACACTTGGTGACAATTTGTGGAAATGTTGATAATAGTCAAGTCAACTACAATTCCCTCTAATGTGACGATATGTACTGCGGTATATTATTGGTATCAGATTATTAGTTAAATTAAACAGACTTCGATACAGCGAAGTTAATTAACTTTTTCGGGGACCAGAGTGGATTACTTAATCACCTCATCATCAGTCAATGCACCAGAAGATTTGTTTCATTTAGATTTGCTTAGCAGTCAATGTCAAGTAGTTTGGTTTGTTTGTCCATAGTTTAGGAGTGTTCAATGTCTTCTACTAAAAATATATTCATACTTATTCACTTTTTTATTTTTAAAATACAGGTTAGACAGTGGATTTAATCAAGTTGAATTAAGTGATCCCGCAATTATGAATTCTGATGACAATAACCATGGAATACATCAAACAAAATTAACAGATGAAGAAGAATTTGATAAAAGATTAGATGAAATTTTCCTAGAAAATCATTGTAATAATTTCGACTTTGATTCAGATCATTTTAAATCAGCAGGAATCAAACCAGTTTTGGTGGAACTGAAGACAACAATAACATTAGTGGTATGGTTAATTTTTAGTACTATGTTTTAGTTTGTAAAGTTGTTCAAACGCTTCTCAATGTCAGTAAAACGTATTTTTTGTAAAATTTGATGTTTTAATGATAAGCTATGAGATAAGGCTATGAACGTTCATCGTCTTGTGTGGTTGGGTTATGTATTAAATACGTCCAACCATCTCCCACTATGACTCAATGGTTGATGGTGTAGAAATATTTCGAAATAAGGCTAAGGATAGCCTTCCTTCTCGAGTTATATTGCTTACGCCCAATGTTTCTTAATGCAACTGATTTTGTTACTACTCCTACTATTCTGGGATTTGTCTCAATTTCATATCTCGAAATGCTCTCACATGGCCACGCGCATGCAACCACTGGCAGGAAAGTCCTACTCACTGCTTTATTGATATGATGGAAAGAAAAGTGAATTTTCGATTGATTTACTCATTATCAGTTTTGTTCAACATTACTTCCGTTTTGTTTCAATGTAATGATTACTCAATGTATTATTTGTTTCTTTACTCGTATGATATTTTATTCTGTATAATATGCTATATTCTTGTATTCCATTGACATGAACCATGCTCAGTCTGTGATATTTTATAACTCTAAGTATTTTTCATACATGTGATTTCATCCTAATTATTAATCAAATGGGTGTACAATCAATATATAAATGAGTGTATTTTCTACTAGAGTCGTTGTCGTCGTCATGGTGCTTTGGGTTAATAAATCATCACTTATACCAGTCTTTGTGTTCTTACTTTCGCATCGTGGGAGTTGCAGAGGTCCCTCGTTCCGAGTATAAATGATAACCGTTTCCGACAATAACAATCAGCGACGACCAGATACAAAAAGTAGCATTAAAAGAGCTAAGACAATAAGCATTCAAATGACAAATTATAACACCTGTGGCACCGGTTTTGTTTACGAAATTGGGAGGACAAAAAGCGAATGTCCGGCACTTTAAACGGGTTGGTAGACACGGCGAGTCCACCTAGGAGAGTTGAAAAACCCTGATTTCAAACCAATGGTGCACATGGGCTCCAGGATCCTAAAGGAACAAATGGCGTATTAGCCTATTGTTAATCATCGGCAACCATAAGACTATCTCCTTACGTTACTCCACTACCTTGTGGATTAGACGTTACGGTCAAAGGCCCAGGGAGTGGACACTTAAGCAGCATCCCAGACCTCACATAAATTGAGTGATTTGCGTGTTGCATATCTATTTTGTGCCTCCGTGTACTAATGTTAATGTGTTTAAATAACTAAATAAATACTACTTTACTAATACGGAGTACCAATTTAAATGAATGCATACATGTGCCAGATTCTGTGTCGCTTACAACTGTTCATCTGTTGGATTTACTTAAAATTCATTCGCTGAGATTTACAAATATATTCTTCTTTTTAATGTCTCAAATTAACTCGGCGCCCAAGTATTGTGAAACTATTCGTTCAAATTTAGACGAAAGTTCTTATTTGTTGTTCATCTGTTAGTCATTTAATTAATTTTTTCCTACATGCTGTTTCATCATTCAAATAGTTACTCTTGTTGTATGCGTAATAACTATTATGAATATATGCTTCAAATACCTTGTATTCGTTTTGCCCATTTTCGCTTCTACTTTGCCATAATGTTTTAGGGACTGATGATCTTGTTCGGTTTAACAATTTTAGGTCTGATTAATGAATCTAGTGAGCAAGTCCCTGCTGATCATAGAGATTTGTTCACTGATCTGTTTCTTAGTGATGCAAAAGAAGATAGATTTGCTGGACACCTTTCTGGAGTGGATATTCGTAAGTTTTTTATGGTAATGAGACAGATTTTTTTTATCTCCTAAAGTGTCCATTTATGCCTTTACTGTGTAAACAAGTAGAGTACTGTTTTTTAAACTTGAAGATGTCTTCCTCTTACGAGGCGGAAGATGATTCTATAACTTTAATTGCATCATCAATACCGTACTTTCAGTGATACTATGCGTTCCTAATTACGACGTATGCGGAAGATCAATTTTAATTTCGTATATCGATTTAGGGTGGTTTTCGTCCAGTCAACTCCAAGCATTTTGTTGTATTAGATCATTCATAAGGAATTCTATTCATTAACTTTCAATGTAGTTCAATTGTAATTTGTCATTTGATTTTCACTTTATTTTCCTTGTATTGGTTATTTACTGTGATTTTGTTTTTAAAGACAATTAATTACACAGTTGATAAAACTCGGTATGTAGTGTTCATTGGATTTTGATATATAACTGAATTAACTTAGATGTAAATCTTGAACTACATCTACTTCGATTGAATATGCTGGTTAATTTCAATAATTGTCAATCAAGTCATTACTTGAATGCAAAATACATATAAATTAGTTAATATAATGACAGACCACAAACTGATATCATGAGGATTCAGTCTATACAAATGCAATAGCACTAAAAGTTCATGAATCGAATTCATTTTCAATTAATATATGGATTTGGAAATTGATGTGTCCAAAAACGTTTTTTGAAAGTTTAGTTTCTCCAACATTGATGATATATCACTTGGTTACTCAAGTTATCGTAACAATGAAGGGTATAATGGGTCATCCATTCAATCGTAATCCACGTAGAAACTGGCACAAATTCGCGTTGAACATACCACATTAACACAGAGAAATGTTTCACACTATGAGATTTAATCTTTGCCCACAGATGAATTTCTTGAATATGTCCCTATGCTGTCTCATACAGACTTGGCAGGGATATAGTCAAAACAGATAACTATGTGTATAATCAACAATTACGATCTGTTTCTAAGATGTAGATGAATACATTTAGCACAAAAAACACAAAGTAGTAGCCGATTACAAAGAGAACAATAAACACGCGCATACCGAACAGTAGCAGGGACACAATAAAATCAACCAATAACAAGGGTTATGTTTATACTACCGGTGCAATCTCATGACTGATCATAATATAATAGCCAGTCTGGGACTAAATGAGTCTGAAGTGGTAAGCGTTTAACCCAGATATTATTGTTTGATTCACTCTCATCGACCGAGATAACAAACCCACAGGTTCTACCAGTTTACTATTATTATATAAGTTACGAATATGTTATAACTTATTAGATGAGTCAGATCGAGGTTATTGAATATCATATGATTATCCTTATCTACTGCAACTCAGGAAAACATGTTTTCGAGTTTTATCAACCTAATCATCAACGTGTGCGCTTACTTTTGTAACTGGTGGTTTACAGATTTTCATAACATTAAAATGGTATTGGTTGTTGATAGAAGTTAAATATAGCATTTTATTAAGGGTACCAGATATAAGTAGTACCACTCGGGGACTAAAATTGACCATTCAGTCTCAGTAACTTTTGTCCGGATACTGAGCAACATGAAACATTGCGAAATTTAAAAGACATTAAAATCCAGTAACTTGAACAATCTCGCCTTTGAACTACTAAAAATGAGTTTAAGATATTCATTCAGTCCCAGCTTGGTAAATTGGGGATCATTACAAGCCTTCGTAAGGATTTGATCTTTCCAGAAAACCTGTGATTGGTTTTCTAACACTACATAAATCTTCAAAATACTTTAAAAAATTTCAATTCTTTTTTTGCTTGTAATAAAGGTTCTTTCAATTCGGAAATAAAGACGGATTCACTAATGATTCGGAAGCTGTCTTTAGCGATTTGAATCAGCCTTGCCAAAACGCTGATTTCGGACCGTTGCAGAGTGTAGGGTCAAAAGTAAGTGAAATATTGTTCAACTTCTTCATACAATAGTCTACTTTGTAGGTATCACTACCAAGGTTTGATTTGATAATTTCGAATAAATTGAGCATTGGGTAGATTGTTATAAATAAATAAATAATATATTTGTAATATCCAATGAGTAGAAAATTAGATTTTCTGACGTTTCGTGATATAGTGAAAATCACTTCTTCAGAGAATAAATAACCAAATTAAAATTAATCCAAGTTTAAATAATACAACGGGACAATTAACTTGGATTAATTTTAATTTGGTTATTTATTCTCTGAAGAAGTGATTTTCACTATATCACGAAAACGTCAGAAAATCTAATTTTCTACTCATTGGGATATTGCAAATATATTATTTATTTATAATCTACTTTGTTAATAATTCATTAGCTTGGTCGATATTATGTTCAGCATCACGAAAAGTTTTTTGTAACACTAGTTATTTGATTTAAGAGAATCCAATGTCTTTCTTTAATTTGAGGAGTAATTTTATTTCCAACTGAAAACGAATGAAAACAGTTGCTTTGTTAGTGGGATATAGATTGTATTGAAACATGTTCCGTGGAGGTTTGTGTTGGTGCATGCTGACCAATTGTTTCTTAATCAATCAGTGGTAGCAGATACTTTGGAAAGACTCTAGAATCTCCTTGTGTAAAATTATAAATATTACTAATGTTTTTTTTTATTGTGATTCCTACTTCCATTCAACTTTGCTTATTTGTAACATTATCACGTTCCTGTTCATTCGTGTTCGGATTTGGGGATTTTTCGAGTAAAGTAAAGCGTCTAAAGAATGCTAAGCAATAAGAGTAGCTGGGTCGTAATTAGAGGAACCAAACCATTCTCCCTGCAAAGTAACATGAAGTACCTGATAATGACATGTTTCAAATTAGTTTTCGTCATATTCTCCTTATGAATCAGTAACATGACTTTAACTAGGTAGATGAGAAAAATGCCAAACTTTGTATAAGCATAACGAATAACGACTCCTAAATAAAATAGGTGTCACGATGTATCTTGATTTATAATGGTTTTTTAACTCTGATACCATGCCTTGATGAAAAATCCCCTTTAACAAGTGGGTGTCTGATGTATTATTTAAGTTAGTCACTTTAACATTCATTGAATCTAACTGAATTCATTCGAACTGTATATGCTTCTATTTTCGCCACTATTTTGATATGATTAGGATACATTCAGGACACCAATACTTCCTTCACACTTATTAGAACAGGAATTCCAAAATTTATTCAACCCAGACACTTCTAATTTAATTGGTACTCAATCGATGAAGTCATCTTTGGAGTGTACTAACGTGAATACTTCTGCATTTAGTAGTAATAACAACCAATCCGAACAACAGTTAAAAAAAAGTGAAAACTCTCTGGGTACCATTTCAAATTCCCCAAAGTCATTATCATCCCAACAGGTAACTGTGTCCATGTTTTTTTTTGTAACTGAATTGGCTCCTTCGTAGTTAAAACATTAAGTTTGTAGTTAAATGTCGCGGTTTAGAACCCCGTTCTATCTAGTTTGCTTTGGCAAACTGATAACTGTCACTCGTCCTTACAATCTTTCACTATCTCACAGCTGAATCCATACCATACTTAAAATAAAGTTCTGCGTTTGGAAGTCCAAATCCGTGGTCGGCTAATATCAAATAGTCTTTTGTTATTTGGTAACTACTGATTACATGTCTTTTTCTAGTAGATTATTTACCCATTAGCTTTTTGGCGAAATGACACGGCATTTATCTCGCCCCAGTTTTTGTCCAACTGAAGGTGAAAGATGACATCTGTGTATATTCAAAACACAAGTTGAATTAAGAAGTATTTCTTTCTAATTGCTTCCTCATCAATACTCTGTACTAATATATAAATACTAGACTCAATCAATATCAGATTTTGATGGAGTCTTGTTCTATGAGCTGGATAGTTTAGTCATAGAGCTCTCATCGTTCTTCTGAACGACATCATCAGCACAAACTTCAGGTAGAAGTGGTGTTCGAATTTCTCCACATATGGTTCACAATTTGTCCTATAGACCTCGATGTTGATTGGTTATTGTTGACCTTAAACCTGTCATTGTTCACTTCTTTGTTTTGGTTGTATCTCCCATTGGTTTAATTTTTTGTCCCATGTTTGTCCATAACTTTCCCGATTGGTTGATAGATTGGGTCGATTTCAGTATACTTGTTGACTGCTGATTGACAGTCTCGTAAACAACACCGCAGCCGCAAGAAGGCAATGAGTAGGATTTCCCTGGGAGTGGCTGTATACACGTGGCCGTATGTGGACATTTCAATTGAAAGAGCGATCTCTCCTCACCCTCGGCCGTTTTAAGGATGATTAGAGATGCTTAACTGTATATTATTGTAAATACGTGTTCACACAGTAAGCCATTAAATTATTATTGTCCAATTTATACAGATCTGACCTATTCTTACTAAATAAGTCAAGCGTTCAGTTTGCAAGAAATCAATCCTCCTACCTAAAATCTAATGGTTATGTGGTATTAGTGACTAGTGCTTCGTTTAATAATACATGGTTAGTCAATTTTGATGATTTTCTCAACCGTTACAGTTTAACTGTTATTACTAACATTCGTCTTGCGGTAATAATTAGTTATGATTCTTTAATATCTTTTCACCACTGTGTTGCTTTCGTTTATACTTTGAATTTACAATAGCCCACAAATCTAGATGCTTGGTTAAATCTGTTTTCTGATATTGGACCAATCGGTAATCCAGATACAATATCGAAAAAGGCTGGTCAAGTCACGGATGCCTAGAAGTACGCTTGAACATCATATTGTTGTGGCAAAATGTTTTCTCTTATACGGATTTTTTCCTCCAATTACACATTAGTTACACCTGCGATGTGTGTATTTCCTTTGTTACTGTGTTAATTCATTTATTATATTTATGCCTTCTTTGGTTTTTGTCTCTTTTGAAAATTTTATCATAATATATTTTGAAAACTTAAATTTCTGGTGTTAACTGTGATAGTTATTATAATGTTACGCAATCAGAAAAACGCTTCCATGTTTTTTTTCCACCATTGTTTTACTAATTTGGTAAATATTAGCACCAATTAATTACATTTTGTTTATTTTGCTTTCTATAGTAAAAAGAATATTTCTCACAACATAAACAATTATATGATCCCTCTGGTGTTTGATCATACTTAGCGGCTGATGAAGACGCTAGTAAATATGTGTTTCACATATATCATAGTGAGTGTTGAACTTCTGGTAAGGTTTGTTACGACATATATTTGAACTCGCATCTCTGATTTCCACAATCTCACCTTATGCTTACGGGCTACAGTTTGTGGATCATGAGTTAGTATCCAATTTGTTATGGAGCTGGGACTTGTTAGTCCAACCTTTATAGGAATGCCTTTTCACATAAATCTTTCTCGATGTCAATCGATTCGAGAGTATTTTTCCCGTACAGGTGACATCTCATCAGGAGGTATCTTCAAAAATGCTTGGAGCTTTTGATATAGTAAGCCAATCAGAAGCAGCCTAATGAGAATGCCAGTCGGTGCCAGTCAGAAGTGACCTGATGGACAAGTGTATTTCATTGGCTAAGAAATAGATAAATTTTTTAAGGGTTAGAGTTCTATGGATACATACATAAAAGTGTCTGTACATTTTATTCAGTAGCCCAATGAGGATTTCAAAGTACTGATAGATTGCAATTTACATGAGATAACAGAAAAGAGAGATGAAAAATCTAACGAGCCCTATGCTATGAAAACTCCTCTAGGGTGGGTGTTGTTTGCTCCTTGCAGTGAGACCACGAAATATGTGGGTATCACAAATTATCTATCGTCTAAGGATAGACGCGAAGCTAGATCAGACGAATTATATAGTGTGAGGTTTAAAATAGACCCGACTCACCGTACGCACACGTCTAAATGCCGTAAAACCTTGGGCGCTATATCTAAATCTATACAGGTATTAAACGGGCATTACCAAATAGCTCTGCCCTGGTGTCACTAAGAAAACCTACCTAATAATACATAACTAGCAGTGAGTAGATTAAATTTTTTGGGGAACCGGGTCATCTGTGACAAGTTTGCAGAAGGAAAATTTAAATGTATGGACGCAATATGTTGGACGAGGCTACGCCGAAAAGGCTTCAGAGAATCGCATTAGGTACCGGATTTTGTACTTGCTGCCCCACCCTGTCTTATATCCGAAAAAATCTGATGAGATAAAAATCATATTCTACAGTGTGATGCAATATATATCGCTGAATAAAATCTTGTATTCCGGACCAGATTTAGTCAGTCATCTGGTAGATGCCTTCACTATATTTTGGTGACTACCAATAGGTCTCACGGCAGATATTGGAGCTATGTTTCATCAAGTTATTGTCCCACCACAGGGTCGTAATGCACTCAGTTGAAGGGAATCCTACATTTAGGTTTTAGTCTGACCAACTCGACCAGCAACACTATTGAACTAATGAAGCTTATTCCAGAAGACCTAATAGGAAGAAACGTAGACATCTGTTTATCTACGGAAAGAAATAAAAGGACAGTAGGAATAGAGTGGAATGTTCGAATGGATCTAATTCAGAGTGTGTGAATTCAAGACGACCCATATGATGAGAACCATTTTATTGTACATAGCTTCTATATTCGACCCAGTTGGTTTATAGCCCAGTTGTCTTACTAGCTAAATTGATTTTGCAAAATACTTGTCGGCGAAATCCGTTACGAGACGCAGAGCGTTCTAGGGAGTGCTTTATGAGATGGGACTGTTGGCTCAGAGGTATGAGGCCCATTTGTTCACAGATTAACTAGGAGACATACCCACTGTGAATCAATGAGACAAAATTTTGAATCAATTTAGTAATTGTAAGACCTGATCCAAAATGCTGATAATATCTGCTAACGGTTCGTCCAAAATATGAGGATGAAACTGGACAGAAGACTGTCACTTCTTGGTAGATTGAGATTGGAAGATATTGATAGTGCGAAACAATATTATTGAATTAGTCCAAACTACCGCATTCCGCATAGAGATGGAGACGTAAAAGATCATACAGCCTTCAGCAGTTACATAACAATAACAACCCTAATGACAGATAATATCTTCACTATTAATCAGATCTCTGGTAATTGTGAATGAGCGGGAGTCTCTCAACAGTTTTCGGGTTTAAACACAAAATATACAATTTAAGTGACTGGATCTGTCTCAGGTCAGTAGGTTTTCTAGAGCCAACAGTTATCACATTATCTGACGGGAATTCTGTTGGTAGCAATTATAGAAATAATAAAGTGAGAACTCAAATGTTAGGGGAAGACGATTATCACAAGAACTTACTAAACGAATAATTTCATTAACTTGTGGTCCAGACAGTATGAGGAGAACGAGGTGTGAAAGCAAAAGGGAAAACGAAGATGATAATAAGCAAGGTAGAAATAAGTTGATATTATGTGATGATGATAAAATTTACGAGACATACATCAGGCACAGCTGATTCAAGAGGGAGATGGTAATCCAAGGGTGAATATTTGTTCGTCATGTCTCCTCTTTGGGCCTTTCACTGAGGAGGCTTTAGTCGGTTCAGCCGGCAGAGCATCCCAAATATGGGCAACTCTCAATGAGAAAAAGTGAGAACGAACCTGGGTGTTCTCTCTTCCACGTGCAATTTTCCGAGGGTTGCCTCGAGGAGCATGGCAATGATGTTCTGATAATATGCTCGTGTTGGGGTGGCTTGGCGCATTCAATATTTTGTATTTCGTTACCAAATCACCTCCTATTCTTCTATAGCTCGACGAGAATAATCCCAGGAGCTGGGATTTGTCCTTATAAGATTTGTGTTTCAGCTATATCACCTGTTTGATTGCTCATCTCTGTACTTGATCTAGCAGACTTACATCTCTCTAGAGGAAAATGAGGAATTGTCTTGTAGATGAACGCGTATTATATCAGTTGTGGTTCAGAAGACTCCGTCAAAAAATTCAACAATTATTAGCAATTTGAGAGGTAGACGTCGATTCTGACAGATAAGGAGACGTAGTCAACAAAATTTAAGAGCATACTAGGACCCAATTATTACCACAAACACACACAAACTTTACTAACGAGTTATAACAAAAACTCAAGATCCACACCAGTCAGGTAGCTCAACCTCCATTCTGGAATATTCCTCCCAATGCATGTGTTGACGAAGACTCCGGAACTGTAAACACCGTAGTCTTAACACCAGCCGACATAACACATGCCGTTATCTCGGAACTTACGGCATTCAACCGAAAAAAAGCATTCTTCCTGCAACTTTACGAACTTGGTAGGGAAACCTTAAAGCTGACGATTGATGACTTCGGTCGCCGGCCACAACTCCGAAGACAGTTTTTTGCTATATGTCACAGATAAAAGGACTGGAACACAGTTTTTAGTCGACAATGAAGTTAAGGGTAATGTAGTACCAACTACTAAACTTGAAAAAAATCACCTAAAGTCATACTAGAAATGCAAGCTACAAATATATCAAAAATTAAAAAGTGTGGGAATAGACAGCTATAATTATACTTGGGTCACGATTGCGATTTTTCCTGAAGCTCCGTCGCATCCGATGTCCTAGTTTCCATAGTCGGCATTGAATTCTTGCAATCCCATGAAATTCTCGTATACGATAGAATCCGGAAATTTGTATTCGCCAATGATAACTGTGAAATCAAAAAATATATATCCGACGCGACTTCCATACAAATATTGATAAAACGTCGCTGTGAGAAGGATGAGTATACCACTTTGCTCGAACAGTCCCCATACTTACTACAGCTGAGTTTCAAACGTGACAACTGATACCGTCGCGCACCACGTTAAGGTGGAGGGATCACAAGTGTTTGCACCTCCAAGACCTCTCGGCCCCTCTCGTCTTGGTCTCACAAAGAACAAACTCAACAAGATGATAAAGTTAGGCACCATAAGCCCTTCCGGTAGTCCTTGGGCATCTCCACTCCTTATGATAATCATGAAGCACTCTTCCCATTTTAGACCATGAGGCGACTACAGAGCACTTAACAGTCGGAATATACTAGATAGATACTCTCTTCCACTCTGACATGACTTTACTCATGGTCTATCTGGTACAACGATTTTGCAACTCGATTTCTTCCGTCCATATAATCAAATTCTAATTCATCCAGATGAGGTTCTTAGAACACTTACCACTACTCTTTCGAGCTACAAGGAATGTCCGCGTGCTTTTCGGGCCAAGGAATGCTACACAACGTTCACAGAGTTTTATTGTCCAAGTAATATACAACTTGCAGCATGTATATGCTCCCATAGATGACCACTTACCACGATCAAAGATGAATGCGAACATCCAGCTCATGTAAGAGTGCACTTTAAGAAGCTAATAGAGTATTGATTAGCGGTGAATATGTGCTTGTAAGATAACCTCCCAACTTCTTGCTTCATCTACTGTATAACTAAGGTATCAGACCAGTTCCTGGAAAAACACGAGCCATCAAAATATCCTATGACCGACTCATTCAAGACACTACGATCCTTCCTAAAGGTGAATAAAGTTTACTAACGTCTTACTCCGAAATGTGATGACACAGCGAAACCGCTAACTGATTTATCGAGAGGACGCGCTAGATCATCTATGATGGCACCACAAGCAATTTAAATATTTGAACAATTGAAGAATGCCTTAAGTGCATAAGAATTGTTTGCCCAGTGAAAGGCTGATGCACCCATAGCAGTAATTACCAGGACCTCTAATGTGGCAGTAGGTGCCATACCTCAGCAACGTG